GGAAGCAGTCACCTCCCCTTGGTCCCCCTGCTTGGGTGGTACACCACCCCCACAGCCCAGCCATAAACCCCCAGCTCCCCCCAGCACCATGTGTGTGCAGAGGCTGATCCCAACGTCCCCTTTTCTCTTCCCCAGGATGGGAATCCATGGCCTGGCCAAGCTTATTGCCGACGTGGCTCCTGGCGCCATCCGGGAGAATGACATCAAGTCTTACTTCGGCCGGAAGGTCGCTATAGATGCCTCCATGAGCATCTACCAGTTCCTGATCGCTGTGCGGCAGGGAGCTGAAGTCCTTCAGAATGAGGAGGGCGAGACCACGAGCCACCTGATGGGCATGTTCTACCGGACCATCCGCATGGTGGAGAACGGCATCAAGCCGGTTTACGTCTTTGACGGCAAGCCCCCGCAGCTGAAATCGGGGGAGCTGGCGAAGCGGACTGAGCGCCGGGCTGAGGCTGAGAAACACCTGCAGGAGGCTCAGGAGGCCGGAGAGGAAAACAACATTGAGAAGTACAGCAAGAGGCTGGTCAAGGTGACACAGTCAAGAAGTTACTAACGCTGATGGGTATCCCCTACGTGGAGGCACCGGGAGAGGCCGAAGCCAGCTGCGCTATCTTGGTGAAGGCTGGGAAGGTCTACGCAGCTGCCACGGAAGATATGGATTGCCTGACCTTCGGGAGTCCCGTACTGATGCGGCATCTTACTGCCAGCGAGACGAAGAAGCTGCCCATCCAGGAGTTTCACCTGAACCGTATTCTGCAGGATCTAGACCTGACCTGGGAGCAGTTTGTGGATCTGTGTATCCTCCTGGGCTGTGACTACTGCGAGAGCATCCGTGGCATTGGGCCCAAGCGTGCTGTCGAGCTCATCAAGGAGCACAAAAGCATTGAGAAGATCATTCAGCAGATAGACACCAAGAAGTACCCTCTGCCTGAGAACTGGTTGCACAGAGAGGCCCAGAAGCTCTTTCTAGAGCCCGACGTGGTCAACCCCAACACCGTAGAGCTGAAGTGGACCGAGCCGAACGAAGAGGAGCTCGTCCAGTTCATGTGTGGGGAGAAGCAGTTCAATGAAGAGCGGATCCGCAACGGAGTCAAGAGGCTGAGCAAAAGCCGGCAGGGCAGCACGCAGGGCCGGCTGGACGACTTCTTCAAGGTGACGGGCTCCATCACGTCAGCCAAGCGCAAAGAGCCAGAGACCAAGGGGTCGGCAAAGAAGAAAGCCAAGACCAACAATGCTGCAGCCGCAAAGACCAAAAAGGGAAAATAGCCAGGCTGGCCGACTGCAAACCCCTGTGATTGGTTTTTATGCTCAACCAGGAATTTTAGGCTAATAACAAATGGTCGTTTTTCTGTTCTGCGTGTTAGTGCTAGGAAGGATGCTGCTAAAGTGCTTCCCAACAAGGCTAGGTTAGTGAATCGGATAAGCATCTTCCTGCGCAGCGGTAGTAACATGTGAGGCTAGGAGAGAAGAGAGCTGAAACAACCGTGGCATCGGGGCGGGTGAGGAACCAGGGAGTTGCATTCAGCAGTTCAGCGGCAGCATTCAAAAGTCTCAAACTGATGATGAGGAGGTCACAGGGACCGGAGGTGATGCCCAGGCTGTGGAGTTAAAGGGAGGTGCTGATCAGAAATACCCTCTCTGACTTAAGAAATAAAAAGTTGACCAGCTAGAGAGCAAACTGGGTACGAATGATAGATTTCTGCCTGACACAATCCATCCAAAAAGAGGTAGGTGCAAGCAGCGGAGGCTGAAGGAGAAACGGGGGAGATGCAAACGGAAGGCAAGCTGGAGCTGGGAAGGAGACTTGAAATAACGCAGCAAACTTCCCCCTTTAATGAGGATTGGGTGTAGGTTCTTCCTTCCCTTATTGTAGTCACTTTTCTTTGTTTAAAAAAAAAATTTGTAATCCCGACTCCAGCAAAGTTCTGGCCCGTTCTTAGTGCATAAACCAAGGACAAGCTGAGCTGAGACTGCTGCTGAATTTTGCTGCTAGGTTCTGTTTTATGCTTAAAAAGAAAAAAAAGTCAATAAACCTAGAATGGAAGCCTGCTCACTCCCGTTTTCATGAGGCATCCTTCCGTGTTGTACACACAGAGACAGGTCCCAGACTAAGAAGAAGAAAAGATAGTGCCTCTTTTTTTTTTTTTCTTACATTATTTTATTCTGTGTTTTGCGTAGTCTTTTCCTCTTGCTTGTCAAAGCAATGTGCTGGGTTTCGTTTTCAGAATAAAAGTTATACACAAACGCGGTGTTTCTCGTTCTCTGGAGAGGTGGCTTAAACCTTGTTGATGAAGGCTGCACGGGTGAAGAAAAATCCCAGTTTGAGGGAAAGCTATTGGTGACAACAGCCAAAAAATCAAGCACAAGCCTGAATACAGCAAATTCAAGTTTTAATCCTGGTGTTAAAAGGGGCTTTTGGATGCTCTGTAAGCATCAAAGATCTGTGGGTCAACTCTCCGCCAAGTTATAAAATAAGCTGGGCTTGTTTTGCCTGGGAATTCTATTAACAGTGCTAAAATAATCCTGAATTTGAAGCCACCTCTGAAATTTCCTTAAATGTAGCGTGAAGGTGCTGCGTGGGGAGGCAGGGAGCGTCTCAAGCTTGCTCTGTGTGTGTGTGTGGGAAGGGGCACGTGGAGCAGAGCACCCCAAAACCTACAAGGCTGCTTCTCTGATCTGGTAAGTTTGCACAGGGTCTCGGCTTAACCTTGATTCTAAGCCCTAAGCTGGAGATATTTTGGCAAGAGGAAGCCTGGATGCTTCAAAGGAGGGCAGCTGTAGCCGGTGTGCTTTGAGGTCGTCATCTGTGCTCTCCACAAGTGTCAACGTGGCTGTCGCTTATCCCATTGCGTTACTTGGCAGAATCTGCACCCGAAAAAGCAGGAAAGCGCTGCAGGGAAAATCAGATTTTAAAATCGCCATGAGGGGTGCTGTTTTATTGCCTGTTCTGTGTATTTATGTATTTAACAAGGCTTCCATCTGTGAGTATTTGTGCTTTCAACCCTGAATCCTTGTGACCTGTCACTCTGAGCCGCAATCTTTTTTTTTTCCCTTTAGCTGGGAAAACCTGCTCAGACAGTTTAAGCAACTTCTAGATGTCCCGTCGCTGGTTTGTCTTTTCTAACGGAGAAGTGGAGCCCAGGCTAAGTCCTCGCTGCATTTTTCTCGGGAGGCTTTAAGGTACAGCCTTGCTGGGCGGGTTAGTTTGAAAGCCTGGCTCTTCTGGGATGTTCTCGTGCCCACCACATCCCACTCCCTCTCTCCTTCCTCTTCCTCTCCTGCCTTCCCCTCCCACGCACCCTCCACCCCTGTTACCTTCCATCCAGATTTACTTGGTCACCAGGGTAAGTTACCCCTACGCCGTTACAATACATAGTAGGCTATACTACTGATACAGTACAGTATATATGGTATATAGAAGGACATTGAGGGGTTGGAGCGTGTCCAGAGAAGGGCAACGAAGCTGGGGCAGGGTCTGGAGCACAGGGCTGGTGGGGAGCGGCTGAGGGAGCTGGGGGTGTTCAGCCTGGAGAAGAGGAGGCTGAGGGGAGACCTGATCGCTCTGCAGCTCCTGACAGGAGGGGGCAGGGAGGCGGATGTTGGGCTCTTCTCCCAAACAACCAGTGATAGGATGAGAGGAAATGGGCTCAAGCTGCGCCAGGGGAGGTTTAGATTGGATATGAGGAAAGATTTCTTCACAGAAAGGGTAGTCAAGCATTGGAAGAGGCTGCCCAGAGAGGTGGGGGAGTCCCCAGCCCTGGAGGGGTTCAAAAAACGGGCAGACGTGGCACTTTGGGCCATGGTTTAGTGGGCATGGGGGTGTTGGGCTGATGGTTGGGCTGATGATCTTAGAGGTCCTTTCCAACCTTAATGATTCCTAGTTTTTACTTTCATTAAAAAATAATGCAGCCACCAAGCCAGGAAACATGAGATTATGACTCTGCCCTTAACTGGTTTAGTGGTGGACTTGGCAGTGTTAGGTTAATGGTTGGACTGGATGATCTTAAAAGTCTTTTCCAACCTCAATGATTCTAGGATTCTACATAGTAGGCTATATTGTATGTTATGTAGTAGGCTATACACCATTATGATACACAGTAGGCTATCTACTACGTGCATTTCAAATGATGAAGATACTTATCTTTTGAATTGTGTTTATTATGTGTAGAAAGCTATCGGTGAAAGCTGATTGAAATACATTTTCCTATGATGCCGCTAAGATCTCCGTTATCCTTAACCAATATTCACCTGGTGTATTTTGGTTCAGACATTTCATCTACTCGGATTTCATTACTTACATTATTTCATTTCAAAATGCAGTAAAGACAAATTGTGTTTTCTCAGTGTGCATTCTCTTAAGAGTTTCAATCCAGAATTTGTCTTAACAGGAAGTTCTTAACTAAATATTCCTGTTTTAGCTGTGAATGCCTTCATTGTGACCACGTGGAAAGGTACAGTGAAATGGTTTTGTGGTGAGGGAATGAAAGATGATTAAAAAAAAAAAGATAATATTTGGAAGTAAGAGTCAGGAAAATGCTGGCAGCAAGGAGGTAAACCAAGTCAGCAGCAGGAAAAAGAAACTGCAAACTTACTGTCTTCAGCCTGGCCCTGCTCTCCGTGACTGGTTGCAGAGTCCTTCATCCTGCCCGCTTCTTGCTGACCTGAATGGCATTTAATTCATCGCATCACTATGTGCTGTGTTATTCCAATGCTAAGAATAGCTCAAGGAATGAGACAGTGTCCTTGTTTCGGCTGGGATAGAGTTAATTTTCTTCCTAGTAGCAGGCACAGTGCTGTGTTTTGGATTTAGGATGGGAATAATGTTGATAACACGCTGATGGTTTAGTTGTTGCTCAGTACTGCTTATGCCAGTCAAGGACTTTCCAGCTTCCCATGCTCTGCCAGGGGCACAAGGAGCTGGGAGGGGGCACAGCCAGGAGAGTTGATCCCAACTGCCCCAAGGGCCATTCCATACCATACTATAGAAACTGGGGGGGGGTTGGCCGGGGAGCAGCGATCGCTGCTCGGGAGCTGGCTGGGTATCGGTCGGCGGGTGGGGAGCAATTGCATTGGGCAGCACTTGCTTTGTATATTATTATTACTATTATCATTATTACATTGTTACTATTATCATTACTATTTTACTTTATTTCAATGATTAAACTGTTCTTATCTCAGCCCGGGAGTGTTTCTCACTCTCACTCCTCCGATTCTCTCCCCCATCCCACCGGGGCAGGGGCAGTGAGCGATGGCTGCGTGGTGCTGAGCTGCTGGCTGGGGCTGAACCCCGACAGACAGAAATGCCGAAACACGATTAAGAAAGTTTAACTGCCTTTTCACGTACCTTTAATGTACTTAAAGGAACAACGTTCAAGTTTGCTGCCTGCCATTTTCTCAAGGGATGCACACAAAGAAAGCCACCTTCAGATGAACATGATTTCTCCAGTGAACCTCAAGTAAAGTCGTAAGCACGGTTACAGAAATACGGTTTGGTGTTTGTGCACTTGGCTCGTGCTGTTACACTGAAGCGCACGTCACACTTTGTCCCTTTGGGTGGAAGCGCGTCGTCTTTGCCTCCGTGGCTTTCCTCGGTGTGTGTTGTGTAGGATGCAGCTGAGAAATTGCATTTTTCCAAATCCGAGCCGTAAAAACTATTACACATGCAGGGAGAGAAAGCGATTTATGTGCACATTTGACTTTGGTTACAGCAGTCACACTTTCAACTTCCTTAAACTGTACAGTTTAAGTGAAGCTCTAAACTTGCACAGTCCAAACAGGAGAATAAACTCCAAACCCTGGCATCCCGTTAAACATTATTTAGCGCACTCGTAAGGCTTCTTTCCCACCAGCACAGATGAAAATTACCCCCCTCCATATCAGCACTGAGCAAAGAAAAGTTAATGAGCCCTTTTTGCACAGTTAGCTGGGGCAGGGGACAGGACCCAAGTCCAAACATCTCCCAGAATCATCCGAGAGTTTCTAATCATCCCCTCCGTGGCTGGCGTGAAGCTCTTTGCTCAGCTGAGATTTACTTCAGGGATTTTATCGATGAGGGCCAAAGAACTAAATAAACCCAGAAGCTGTCCCCTTGCACAGCCCTTCGGGGCCGCGTCGTCATCTCTGCTCAAAAGGCTGGGGCCACGCACCGTTGCTGCTTGCTGACGGAGCCACCGCGTTACTCGGTCGCGCTTCTGAGCGTCGCGTCTCCAAGCGGCCGCTTCCCTCCTCTTGTAGGATCAGAGTAATCTGAAGAATGGAGGAGAACGGATCGCATTGCTTCTACCTGCCTTAGGATGAGGCACGCGTGTTGCGTGCGGATCGCGGGAAGGTG